TTCAACCATTGCAGCTGTTTTGGGATTAAATTGAGGGAATAGTATTGATTGGCATTTTAGTGACTTGTTCATTAGCTGATTCTATGTTCTTTTCAAGCAGCTACTGAATAGTTTGAGCAAAGAATTTTTAGATTATTGGTTGGTGTGAACGGTTCACTACAGCTATTTGATATTCATTATGTGACTGTTCTCATGACCTGGGTTCTGTTTTCTGACTGGATGACTGAAATATTTTAAACAGGAGAATAATGAACAATGGGTTTACTCATACCAACATTTGTATCAGAAAAAGCTCATCCTACAATACATGAAGACATTGATATTACAAATTCTTTCACAGCAATTGTCTAAAACAAATAAGATAAGATCAAACCAGCAGGACCCGAACATGGTGATTTTATTTCTGAAAATATTCATGAGTCCATTTTTTTTTAAAAAAGACAATTTGACTAACTCTAGTGGGAACCCTCTGAAACAAATCAACTATTGCACATCTCCAGCAAATCCTCCTATAAGAGTTTCCAAGTCTAAGAACTTGTGAGTCTACAATTGAGTCTGCCACTGAAGGTATAAAAAAGAGAACCGTAGTTGTAGGCAAGACATGCTCATGGTAGTTTTTGACAATAGGCCATGTTCTCTCAATTACACTACAACAACTTCCATTGGACATGACTGAACTTTCTGTTTTTAATTGACAAAGAAAATTCCTGAGAAATTGGTTGTGAAGCTGAACGGGTTAACAATAAGTAACAGACCATGTAGTTTTTTGGGGCCCTAGCTCAAAAGTGTTCTGGGATGTGGTCTAAAAGCTAGAGATACTAATGCCCACTTTCAGTTATCCTCAGACTGTTCTGATATGGTGGTATATCTCTCTCTCTCTTTCTCTCTCTTTATAATTTAGAGACAAGGTGGGTGAGGTAAAATCTTTTATTGGACCAACTTCTGTTAGTGAGGGAGACAAGCTTTTGAGCTTTCACAGAGCTCTTCAAGTCTGGGACATGTACTTAGAGTATCACAGTTAAATACAAGGTGACACAGATTTTTTAGCACAAGTACTTAACACATATTTCAAGGGACCACTGGTGAAGCAGTCAGTTAACACATCTCCAGTCATAAGGGGTGGAAGGAGAAAAAATAATATATAAATAGTATATTTGTCAGGAATACAAATTATAAATAACAAAACTAACAAGAGCACGGGAGCTTTAACATTCAACTACTCCTGTGTTTTAAATTTAATATTCTGAATGATTTCCTGTGTATTTTATGTAGTGAGATGTATGATCTCTATCTGGCATAGATTATAAGATTGGGACAGGAGTAGAGGCAGTCAAACTTTTTGTTGAAATGTTTTTTAATGGAAAATAGCTTCGATGAAAACACGAGAAATTTTGAATATTTTTTGATAAAAATGAAAAATATTTCTTTCATCAAAATTTTTCATGGGGGCCAAGAGGGGTGGAAATATTTGCTCATCTAGCCATAGGTGGGAGCCCTGTGTTAGTACCATGCCGGACATACTAGTGATACTTATTAATTCTTATTGTTATTTCTTTACTAACAATAGCCTTGTTCATGTCTACATTTGAGGAAAAATCTACAGAGATTTCTATTGCCCTGTTTGTTTAAAAATGTGACTGACTATTCAGTTTAACATGTTGATTTCTTGGAGTAATTCCACCTTGTTTGTGATAGTGAATTCAAGCATTACAATAGTGGATGAGTAAAGTAAAATACAAACACAATTAAACTTACCATGGAACTTTTATGAAATTCCATAGACTTTAGATAATAGTCCATATAGCTTTGGAGTAGAAAAACAACAACATACATTTTGGCTTGAACCCCTGTGTAGAGATATTTGTTATTCCTGATCCACATTCTAAAAAATAAACTATGCCCAGGCTTCCAATCCATTTGCAATTGTTTATTTCCATTGGTTTGTTCTAAATAACACTCAGAGTTCACCACCTCTTTAGAACTGATTTATCCTTGAGACTCATAAAAGTACTTCTGAAGATCTTTGGACTGCACCGGCTTACATCATGTGTCAGGTATTTTAAAATGTTTTCCCTGCAGGGGAATTACCATTTTCCCATATCACAAGCCAAACACTGTGCTGTTTTATCAATATAGTCAGTACACTTTTCAGGAACAAATTCCAGCAAAGTGCTCTTAATGTAAGTGATGTCAGTGCACTCACTGTAAGTGGTGGTGTCTCCCTTCTTGATTAGGGTTATAAGAAAGTGTTTTTGTTTGCAGGGCCAGTTCAGATCCAAGCCATGAAGGCTCCATCACATCAGGGCCAGGTTAAAAGCTGGTGGCATATTTAATGCTCCTGCTCCAGGGCCATGTGGATAGGAGTGTGAGCTACTGCCTGTGGAGCAAGGGCTCCCAGGTGATGAGTAGAGGTCCCTGGGGAGTCAGGACATCTTTCATATCTTTGAGCCAGGGGAACATGACGGTTTCTTCTGTTCTCCTGTTTAACAAGAACCCTGAATCCACTATTTCTTTCATGCACCCACAAACACATGTAGTTCTGGGCACATTCCCTTTTACACTCCCAGATCTTTCCCACTCCCTCACATCTAGCATGGCAGAATAGTTTGAGGCAGGTTGATGTAGGGAAGAAAATGACACAATGAAATTTGAGCCATGCACCATGAGGTGGAAGACCTCAAATGAGTGGTTTCACAGGGAGCCTCAAATTTGCTTGAATGTCCCCACTTCCTTCCACTGCTCCCTGCTAGTGTATTTACTTGGTGGATCACAGTCTAAGAGGGGAAATTATGCATGAGGCCATTCTATGATTAACTGATTCTGATTTACAGAGGTTTGTCCAGATCTAATCTTCAGTTTTGACCAATGAACGTTTGCACCCATTGTGATTTGCTTTGTGCTTCAGGACCGAATGAACCCTAAAACTGAAAACAAAACTAAGTCCAAAATGTGAAATTCTACCTACTTTCATAGCCTGACTGTGCAAGGCTGCAAATTTCACTACTTTCCCCAAGAAGCCATAAATCAAAGGCTTACTCAATGGGAGCTGAGTTTGCAACAGAGCCAGGAACAAGTCATGTGGCTGTTCTTTTGCAAACTTTCTGTGCAGCTGTAAAGGTAGAAGAAACTTATCGCAAAGAGGGAGAATCCCAAAACACTACAGAGGAGACGTCCTTATTAATACATACAAAAGAGAAACAGCACATCAGCATCAGAAACTGGAAGCTCTCCGTAAGGATTCTGTCACTAGCACCAGATCAGTGAAACGTGAACCTATTTGAATATAAAAGGGAATAGAAATATCTTGGGTAGGCACTAGGACCCCACGAATGCCTATATGAAATGCTGCCTGGCAGCATGTCAGTGGCACAGAGCTTCCTTAGCTGTTACACAAGACAAGGAGCAGCATTTGGAGCATCATTTTCATCCTGAAACCTGCAAGGTATTCATTTATCTACCATTTATCATAAGGATTCTTAGATTATAAAAGCCTTAGAGCTGCTTATTTCATCCTTATTTATTGCCAGCCTCTCAGTCATTTATATTATTGTTACATGTTGTTATGTTTTTATATTTCTGTAGCTCAGATGGGAGCAACAGTGCCATAAAGAAATGGGCTAGTTATTTCCAGCTAGTGAGACCTGGGAGTATTGTACACCAAAAGTGTAAGTATGTGTTTTATATCTTTATTATGCTGTTCATCACTGCTTGTTCCTTTGGTTTGCACTGTAGTCCCCCTTCAGAGAGGGGAAGGAAACCGTTGATGAGCTGATCTAGGAAGAGAAACCTGGATCTTCTGTTCGCCCGTTGTGGAAAATGTCTAGCAAATGCCTGAAAAATCCTAAATACTGGGAAGACATTGTGTGTGTTCTTCCAGCTTGTGAGATGGTAGATTCTGATGAGGCTAGCTGATTTTATTTTTCCCCATTGTGACTTTTTCTTCCTTGCCTGGGATGGGAAATGGATTTTGCTGGATGCTGTGAGCAAAGCTCACAACTGTTTTACGTGTACTCCATTCGCAGGGTTGAAGAACTGCTTATTTTCTTTGTAATCACTGATGCGATGCAGCATATTTTCTGAACATATCTCTAGTTTTCTCAAGTCCCTTCAGATATGTCATTCATTCCTTGCTGGAAGGGTACAGAGATATTCATGAATCTTAACTGTGAAGCCAATGGATTGCTTCCTACGTATAAGGTTCACATTCAATGTTAACAGTAGTCAGATGTAATCTTGGAAACAGATCATAGACCGGTTTTTCCCTATCATTGAAGCAAGTTGTATTTGGTCTAGATGGCCAATTTTGTTGGCCATTAAAAGGTTTGTGATAATCTTATAGATTTGATTGCAATTTCCCTTTAACTACACTGCCTGTATAGACATAGCTTCCACAGAACTGACATACAGATTGCTCAAGGGCATATAGAGCACTGGATGCCAGTTGGAAATAAGTTTAATGAAAGAAGTTTTGATTGCAGTTTGAACTTCAGTGGATGTGACTACTGTTTGTCAATGGACTAGGTGTGTGAGTAAGGAGAGAAGGATTTGGCCCAATCCCAATCTATGCTAGAAGCGTTTACTTTACTAAGAGTAAAAATAATTTGATTGCATTTCTCTAAAATCCAAACAACCAATATGACGTATAAATGGCAACTGTACACTAAAGAAGAATCAGATTTTATAACTTTAAATGGATTGATTTAAAAAGTCAGTGTTTTTAATTTGTAATGACCAAAATTCAACTGGCAATGGGCCAAATTCATAGGTGAGTCTAAGGCCTGGTCTACACTGGGGGTGGTGGGGGATCGATCTAAGTTATGCAATTTCAGCTACGTGAGTAGCTGAAGTCGACGTACTTAGATCTACTTACCGCAGTGTCTTCACTGCGGTAGGTCGACTGCTGACACTCCCCCGGCCAACTCTACGCTTCTTGCTCCGGTGGAGTACTGGAGTTGACGGGAAAGCGCTCGGTGGTCGATTTATTGCGTCTTCAATAGATGCGATAAATCACTCTACCCCATGGATCAATCGCTCCGGAGGTAAGTGTAGACATGCCCTTATAGGTAGTAAAAGGGCTGTAGTTTATAACAACATGCGCATGACTGCTAAATTTGGGCCATAATTTAAACAATCTAAAATATATTTTTGCAGAGACGGATAAATTAAAGCATTCTCTGGGGTAAGGGGTGGAATGTTGTATTCCATATTCTTTTCTCTTTTTAAGAGAGTTAGAACACAACTTAGATGCAAAATTCCCATAGAGTTAAGAGTAAGATGTCACAATGAGACCTGAGGATTTATGAGGGTTTTTTTTTTGTAGTGTCCCTTATAGCTATTTTAAATACAGCGGATAATTTCCACGTGATTTAATTTAATAGCTAGATACAATTCAGGTTATGTGTTACTTGGTAATAAAAGTCCATGATCCAATATTTTCTGCAGACAGGAAACGGTGAAATCAGAATGAATCCTCCAATGTCATACTGTGGGGATGTAATGAACTAAATAACCTCTTCAACCTTTCATGTCTAATACTTGTTGAATATACATAATCTGTGTATTTCTATATTTTATAGTATATTATAGTATAGTCAAACACATATTGAAGCAGTAGAAAACACCTGTCATTGGCGCACAAATCAAGGCTATTTTGGCTTCTGCACTATTATTTCACTCCCACTTTACTTAGAAAGTGGCGGTATCTCAGAATTAGAACTGTGCAAATAATGAATTCTTTGGTTCACTGGCAATTCTGAAAAATACAAAAGAAAAATCACTGTGAAAAGAGGTTTTTTTGGAAATTCCAATGAATTGAAAAGTAAATAAAAAAAAATTGTTTCAGATCAAACAAAAGGTTTCTTTTGAACAAAATCAAAATGTTTCACTTCAATGTTGATAATTTTAAAATATTTTTGATTTTCATTTAAATTCTTTTAATTAAACATTTTGAGGGGTTCTTTTTGAAGGATTTTGTTTTGAGCAAAACCATTTGGTGAAAATGATACAAATTTGCTAAATGTTTTGCTGTCACTGAATCTTCATTTGTCGCTGGGGAAAAAATATTTTGGCCAAAAAATGTTTCCCAGCTCTACCCTTAGATTAGATGTTGATTAGAACGATGTAGTTTCGGATCTGGATCTAGATCTCCATTTCAACTCTAGTCCTCCAAAAATTCAGGAGTGTATGAATTGGCTCAGTCTTGTTATAGAGCTAACACCCATGATGTGAAATTTGAATCTGGGTCCAAATTCTCATCCACTTGCCTCAGCTGTGTGAGGTGTCAAGGCCTGGGGCTTTCACTTGAGCCTATGTGTGTCTCAGAATTAATGTATAACTTTGTGTACCTGTCCTACACTTACAATTATATACACAAAAACTACGTTCAAAAGAACATTATTAAGGGTGCATTATCAAGCACTCAAAAGTTAACACCTGCCTTTGCAACTTTAATTCCGCCCTTCGTGCGTATGCATTATGATACAGTCTTTTATTATACATTGCCTCATCCTGCTCTGGGGGGGTGACTCAGGGTTGTGCAGTGAAAGAGACTTGTCTGTAGGACCCCTGCTTCATTTACTATAGAAGTTGGAAGGAGAGTAATGATTAAGGCAGGGGCCTGCAGGAAGAGAAAGGATGGTCTTGTGGCTGTTGAATGCTGGCCTGGAGAACTGGGTTCTATCCCTGCCTCTGCCATGGAGTTCTTGTGTGGTGCTGGGCAAGTCACTTAAGCCAAATTTTCACAGATGGTCACTAATTGTGTGTTCCTTATTTTCTGGGTGCCCAGCTTGAGACCCTGGCATCCGCTAAGCACTCGCTGCTGCAACTGGACTTAATCAGAGCTGTGCTTTGGATGTATAAAGTGCTATAAAAGTATCCTGAAAATTCAGGTCCTAACATCTTAATTTAGATGCCCCAAACTAGTGGATACTTTTGACCCTGATCTCTTTGCCTCAGTTTCCCATTTATAAAATGGGATAACACTCTTCCCCAACCCATCTCACAGGAGTGCTGTGAAAATAAACAGATGTTTGTGAGCCACTCACTTGAATCATTTGGGGGATTCTTTGTCTGTTTTTAAAAAATTTTAGTCTGAAATATGCCGGATTAACACTTCTGAAGAGCAGATGATGCCTCATTGCGACTACTCTGACTGTGTACTCCACCCATTCTCCTTTAGGGATTAAAAGGTCGTCCCATCTCCATACTCATCCCCTCTTTGGCCTCTTTGTAGAGATTGATTACTAGACTGCCCAGGATGGCGGTGATTTTTATGATGACGCTGCCTGCGTACGATGAATGAGTCGGAAGCCACTAATTAATGCGTTTCACACTGGCCGTTGTGATATGACAGCAACTTTCACTTAGGCTGAATTCATACTGGCAACCTGTCAATTATGATGTGAAAGATTATGTATCTTATCCATCTCTTGCATGATGCATTCTCCACAACTATGTCTACAGTTATTATTATTTTATTATTTGTATTATCACAGGGCCTACGAGCCCTAGTCATGGACCAGGACCCCATTGTGCTAGGCGCTGTACAAACACAGAACAAAAAGATGGTGCCTGCCCCAAAGAGTTCACAATCTAAGTATAAGGCAAGAGACAACAAATGCATCTAGATGGGGGAGTTACAAGGAAACAATGGGACAATATTGATCAGCATGAAAGGCAGTGGTATCAATGCACCAGCAAACTGTTACAGTTTTTGTAGGCATCACAGCAAAGGAGAGCTTTAAGAAGGGTTTGGAAGGAGGATAATGAGTTAGGTTTATCAGAAGCTCTTCCCAAGAGTGAGGGGCAGCCTGGAAGAAAGTACAAAGGTGATACTTTGAACATTTAAGAGCTGGGCAATGGAGAGTAGCATCCTGGGCTGGTCAGAGGGGAAAGTTGACATCTCAGTAGCAAATGAGATATGATAGGTAGGGTGGGGATAGGCCATAAAGGGCCTTGGAAGTTAATAGAAGCCACTTATGTTTGATGCAATATAGAAGAAAACCCCAATGGAGGGATGCAAAGGTGGTCGTCAAAGTGACAGGCTAGGAAAATGATCTTTACAGCAGCATTCTGAATGGATACAAGTGGGGCAAGATTGCATTTGTCAGGGCCAGACAGAAGCATGTTGCAGTAATCGACATGCAAGATAAGAGTCTGGAATAGTTTTAGCTATGCAGATGGCTGGGAAAGGCCATATCTGAGAGACGTTTTGCAGAAAGACTTGGCAGGACTTAGATTGAGCTTGGATGAACCTAGAGAGAAGTCCAAGTCAAAGATGACACCAGGTTATGGGCCTGAGTGACAGGCAGGATGATGGTGATGTCCACAGTAATTGAGAAAGGAGGTAGCCAGGAGAGCTCAGGAAGCAAAGATTAAGAGCTTTGTTATATCCATGTGATAGCACTGAAGTCAGTTGAGTTTCCTTGGTGCCACTGAGAGTAGAATATGCCACACCATGTTTGTATTTTATTAAATTATATAGATATAAAATAGATTTAAAATTATCAAACAGCCATAAACATCACCTTTCATTTGGAATGTCAATGAGACTAATGCACTAGCCTGTTAACCTGTATAACTATCTCAAACTGTCTAGAAAGCACCTGCAACCGCACACTGTCAATTGCTAAGTAGCTGTATCCATGGGCAAAGTATTTGTAGATCA